TGTAGAGGGATTGTAATATTGAAATTTACTTCTCGGGCACTCCCTTCAGGAAGAGGCAGCGCCAGAGTTTAGAGCGGTATCTAGTATTTAGTACCAGTAGCTCAGTACGGCTCTCCATCTCGACCCGGAGCAATTTAAGGTTCCTGTTTTACGACTTTTCATGTCGGTGAGGTGCTATCTTTTTCAATAAACTAAATCGGTTGGCAGGGTTGACTGGTTGGTTGATGACTAAACCCCTTTGTTGTTTGGTCGCATTTTACCTTTGTCTGGATCCACACCGTACCCCAGCTAAGTAGCAGTATCAAGCCTCGATGAAATAAGTCATCCCGCGATTTCTTCTCGTATTTCCAGTGTCCAGGGTAAGGATTTCGAAACCGTGGCTTCGGCTAAATAAATTTTAACCTGCCATGTGATAAAGCGGCTCATGGACACCATTTTCCATAGGGGACCGATACCCACTCCTTCTGATTGTGCACCCTCCTGGCGAGCTTCACACGTTTCCGGTCAACCAGCTGAACCGATGACCATCACGACCAGGATGTCCTCGTGACTTCTTGCATGCCTCTCCTTGAAAGGTTTGGGATATCGACTTGTTATCTCTCCTCCAGATAAACTAGCTTATCGCGGTTCATCAATTCCATTACAACTCCGCTCTTTGGCTTTTTTCCTTCTTACTCAAATGAAAATACCCTCGCTGCTGAAAGTCAGTATGCAGGCCTTCCCCAGCATTGGTCATTCGAGTAAGTCATCAAAGAGCGTTTCGAGACAAGTTTGGAATGAAGCGATTCGTTTACCGATTCATCAGCCCCCGATCCTAATGACGGGTTTTATCTTGGGGTCCTATAACCCGCAAACAAAACGAGTCTCTTGTGTTCCAATCCCCTGTCCACTAGATTGCATTTCGCTCAACCTCAGGTCAGTTGGATTTTTCTCGTTTACGAGCATCTATGGTTATGCATCCCAACCGGGAGAATTTCCTACACTTTAAAATCCAAAAGCTACAGTTCAAGATCCTCGCGCCATGTTTTAAGGTGTATTATTTAAAGGTGATGCATTAAAACAAAATAAATAGAAAGCCTGAAAACTGATGGACTGTGTTTGTGAATGTTGTGCATGTTACTGATTGATGGATATAAACATGCGGACTGGAGAACGTAATAACAAACGTAATAACACAAACGGAATAGAATGACCAATATTGTGGATGTCAGTTGTGAACCGAGAACGTATGTAATTGCTGTTTTTCATGTTACCCATTGACATCATCTCAATCATAATTTGACCGCATTTAGTCTGAACAAATTGAAATTTTCCGTTCTTTTCAAAAATTAAATGTTGATTGTGAATCGAAACAGCTCTGCTCAATTTTAAGGTATCATTATCAGTGTGAATTAGTCTGCGAGGTGTGTATTCGAACCCGAAAATCAACTCACGCGCTAAAGAAGTCTACCAGCCGTTTCACAACTACACAATTCTTCTTTGCCTGTATACAACCTTAAGAGGCTGGGAATAAATTACTAGTCCCGTTTATCATAGTACTGGTCTTTTGACTGTTGCGATTCGATTGGTAGTTCTTAGAACTCGATTACCGACTATCAAAAAATGGAACGGGGCGACCATCATCAGTGTGGTGTCTTCAAAAATCCCATGGTGATTTTTTAGTGATGGTTTGTGGCACTAAGACTGGTTCTACACAAGCGTTCAAGATCAGATATGCATCGATGCAATCTAGGAATGAAAAAGAAATGCACCCCTCCTCTTCGTTTTGTACTTCGTTTCCAACTACAGTATGGAATCGAAATGTGATGCGTTTTTATCTTCAGTTGTACGATAAACTGTTTCGTTTGTCGTTCATGTGAGTAGTAAAAACCTTTTTGCTTTCGGCTCTGCCTCCTCCCACATGCACCACTGAAACTTATTGGGAGTCTGACTGTGTATTTTGTGCATTCTGTTTTTTTGTTTCCTGATCGATATGTAGCACGTGGTTTGCACGAATTCAGTCCGGAGGACAAGTACGCTACACTTCGTGCGAAGGACTTCGCTCGTCTGTTGTTCACCCCGGTCGAGTCCAAAGATCCGACTTTTAGCGCGGGTGGTGCCAGTGAACCGGAACTCCTTCCAGATGAGCGTGGTCCACCTTTGACTATCCGGCGGGGTACGTTGCCCAGTACGGAAGATTCCCGTGAGCGATATTATCAAAGTGGGGCTGCGCAATGCAGTTCCGGAGTCATTGGTGTCTCAGATCCTCTTGGACGCTCATCATTCACCCGATCACACGCACAACGACGCTGCAAGGTGAAGACCCGTTCTCAGCCACGTGGTCAACCTAAAACACCGTTGCACACTGTTTCTCTACCTCCTAACATTGCCAGTCTTACCCCAATACCTCTTCCGCTCCCGTCCAGCATTCCGTCTCTGCCCAGCGTGTGGCTCACGTCCATGCCCGATAGACTCAGCACGAGCAGCGGAAGTAGTCCAAGAAGTACGGGGAAACGAGCAAGTGGAAAGTCACAAGCCGGTCCTTCAGCATCAATCACAATGGATGCAATTCCTCTGGGGAAAGCCCGCTCCCAGCCATTGGCTATGCCCACTAACGGTGGTTACCAGGCGCCTCTGGGCACATGGTTGGCGGAACCATTGGTGATTGGAGGTTCGGTGGTTTTTACTGGTAGTTGGCCTCTCTCTGGTGCTCGATCACCCCTCGTGTTGCTCTTGGCTGGCGGTCTTACGCAGTGTACATCTGTACATCTCGACTGGAATGCTCATTTGCCCCTACTTTTGCTATGTGTTCTGCTCGGTAAGTCTGTCGCATCGTGTGAACCCTTTCAAGAATCATTTATCTCGAGACATCCACGGATTTGTTTCAGTTAGTTAAACCTATTTCATTCCATTCAGATAGTAGAGTGGACTGTATTAATTTTAAACTCTTCGCCGATTTGGGGCTGACTCCCTCGCGTTGTTGATTTATAGATGTTTGTGCGATATCTTGCGGCAATGTTGATCATTCATACTACAAACATCTGAACTACTTTGAAAAGTTACTTTGTACTAAATAGGCCCTCCGTGTGTGTGCCCCCATATTTAAAATACTATTCAATCCGAGCGAAAGTTTCTGGCAGGATAAGCTAAACAACTAACGACTACAACTGCACAACTGAGGCTGTTTATCCCAGCCTCATCTGACGTTATGCAATCGGATTTGGGATCTCTATCCAGTAAAACGTTTCTCCTAATGCATGTCTTCATTTCCTTCTCTCTTTCGGTTTATTCCTCCGAATACAATGAACGTTATTTTTACATCGAATGATATGTTGACTGATTCATATCAGTCATGCTTTTCGCAATGCCAGATAATTCATGTATGCACCATCTTCACAAATCGCGTTTTTCTCGTCAGTGGCATGTTTGCACGGTTCCATCGTATTGCTTGTGCTCATCGTGTCACACGAATTTTCTAACGAACTGTATATCTCTCTCGAATGTTTTCCACCGCATTAGTACTAATCACACACCACCTATTAACATATACAGTAACTCGTTCAGTGTTGTCAGGAGCAATAAATGTGCGATTGTTTCTCTAGGAGACAAATCTTCAGCTCTGATCGTCTCGTTAACATCTTAAAGAACAGACAACCCAATCAGACTCACATTGATGATCTTTTCGCGTCGGTGGGTTACAGTCTTATCACATGACCTCTCGGGTCCATTTGGCTACTCATTGTTGTTCGATAATTCCTCGCATACTATCCGCCTCATAAGCTCTATTTGAGACCGATATCCTGTTGTTGTGCTCTAGGTATGGATCATTGCCGGGCATTAGTACAGGAGGAATGCAAACAGTTGCTTGTGTCATTACTGAATCTTGCCTGTCCCGATCAGGATGCGTTGAGACTGCTACGTCTCGAATTGGAAGCCACTCTCTTGGCCACAGCCTACCCATCCTCATCCTCATCGAGTCCACGAAAACCGAACTATCGTTTGACTGTGGACGGTGGACCGTATCGGGTAAGTTTTACTGCACTTGAATCATTTGGTTAGTGGTTTGGCTTCCTGTGAAAATGTGAAACCTTTGTCTGTGTTCACTGTTACACAAATTTGAGTGCCAAAGTTGCGTTTGTGTTGTTTTTGGGGCAATTCCTTTCAACCAGATATGCTTACCCGGACCCTCTGCTGTCCCATAATTGACTGATCAGTGAATCGGGTGCATACTACTCTGTATATCATGATACACACTGATTGGTCGAACAGTAGTTCCGAAAGAAGCCCTCGATTTTAGATAACAGTTTCAGTTCAGATAACCACTGGCCTTGCATTTTTGTTCGGCTGCTTTGGTTGCTCATCTTGTCTAATGATGATGAAGTAGCAGTTGAAAGCTGAGCGTTGTACCGAGGTGAATATGGCGAATGCGAGAAGACCAAAGTTATGACCGAAACCGAGTGAATGCGCGACCAACTCTGATGTGTCACTTTCGCTGACGCTCTCAGAACTTGATTATGTCGGTTTTGTCAGGCATCTCGATTTGGGGCGTCGGGATCAGCCGTGTCCTCGGCTAGAAATGAAATGGCTGGGTGATGTAGTTGGTAGCTATCGCAAATCTGCTCACTTGCCACAAGTATCTACTGAATGAAATGTGCAACGGTTTATTCGCTGTCACCAGCGTGCTGTGGATCCTATGGTCCGAGGTCCGAGCAGAGTATAGCCCCGATGGTCGTAATCGCCCCTCGTAGATGAGTCAGTAAGTACACTTCCTTGATCAGCTTGTTGGTAATCTTTTGTTGACGCTCCAACATCCTACAATCTGGTGCCAACCATGGACTCCAGGCTTGGATTGCGTATTCTGTGTATGGTGGAGTGTACACTAATAGCAAACGTGGAAACAATATTGGTTCGACCAAAGAAGCACCTAAGCAAGCCGACATTCTTTATAGCAGTGGACAAAGCCCTAGCGCAGTTGGTCGAACAATTATACATAAGTCCTTTTCATTTGAGGTATGTGGCACCTGTTGATTTCCGAGAAAATACGGGAATATACTCCCGTATTGTAGGGATAGGACTTTGCATTTAGAAACATTGATTTCAATTTTGTTCTCCATCGACCATTGATATNNNNGCTGCGTTAAGTGTTTCTTCAGGTGATAGCGTCCTCGGATTATGCTACCGTACTCCAGATTTTGGCGTCGTCTGTAAACAGTATTTTTTTATCACAGCACATTCCGTAGGTCATTTGTGAGCCTACAACCTGAATACTAGTGTCGTGTCACCAATATTGTCCAATGCCACATGTCGTTTTCTCCGACAGCTTATGATTATTTGTGAAGCGCTAGTTCATAAGAGTAAAAAATTCCCGTCGATTCGAAAATATAAGAACAGTTGAAAACTTCGTTGGGTTCACAGTGGTCCGAGCATAGTGGTTAATTTGTATAATCCATGGGTTCTGTAAATTATGTGGAAAGAAAATGAGTGAGCGTTCTATTTCTGCTGTTGCTTCTTTTTGATGCACCAGTTGTGTCTGTGCAGCCCCTTTGCCTTTTCATATTCTATCATCGCGACAGTTCGATAATTCGGTTGACTGGATTTATAACCTACTACGTCTGACCTTCTTGATTGTTTAATGTTTCCCCATTTCATCTGATTTGGTTCATAGGAAAGGTTTGATCTATTCGCATACATCCCACCCATAACGGTCCAATGTGATGTCCCATCACCACAAAGTCAGCCAACCCAAGCGATACACGAAAAGTCTATTCCGGACATTGCATTTTCTCAATATGTTCCCCCACGGAAACCCGAACGCCGTTTCGTAGGCTCACCGGGCACAGTTCGTGATGTTACTCCCCAGGTTCATCCATTTAGTGGTGAAAACAGCCCACCACCCGGAGTTGTGAATGTTTCTCAAGCTGTCACAGTTCAATCACCTTTGAACGGGGCTCAATGGACTGGATCTACTTTCAGTCTGATTAGTACAGCTACTCTGATTCCTGGTCGAGAAGAATGCACAATACCAGATGTGCGTCACACGTTGTGTGATGTGGATGAACAGCCAAACGACAAACCGCGAGCGGTTACCGGGCCTGAACGCCGATTTTCCGGTCAACAGATACCGCCAGACTCCGTTTCCGTTGCTCGTCCCAAGGCACAGATACTTCGCACCAAACAGACGCGTGCAACCAAGCCGGTTCGGTCGGTCAATACAGTTGCTGCTGACCCTTTAGCTCGTTCGGCTAGGGGTCGAACACTTCCCATCGATCCCAAACCCTTATTGTCCGCGATAGCCGAACTACGGGAATTACTTCTTTCCAGGTTAGTTTGATTCTTTCTCACTCTTGATCAAGAGAACCGATCTTGCGTGTCGCAAAATCTCGGTGGGGCCTTTGACTTTCGGCCGTGCTTTTTGAAATTGTTTTTGCAGTGTACACACTTGACTGTGCACGTTTACGTCAATTCATCAATCTTTCGAGATCCAATGCTGACGTACAATTACTCCATTATGTAATCCCTTTGTGTTTTCGCGAATGACGTCGGAATTTCAGCGTTTGCTCATTCCGTGAGGAATCGTTACAAACAGTTAAGAAATATCGTCAAGGTCACCATAATAGGCATCGCGTTGCCTGGTGGGTTGCTCTAAGGCGAAGTTCTATCAACAGAATGGTAGTTCCGTCCATTTGTTCCAGTAACATTCGCTCACTTGTGCTTATTTAATCAGGTCTAACTTAGCTGCCTCGCGCAAACCGTACGGCTTCACCGAACCACCAAATCGACCTCCACCAACGAGCTCAGCAAGGTGCAAGACTGAGGTCTGCCTTATTTCCACAGAGAGAGAAACAGCGTGGGAAGACAAGTTGCCAATCGGGTGGGGGAGGATAGACTGAACGTGTGATCAATCGATCAATGAGGTATGTTGCTCGGAAACGGATCCAACCGGCATTTCTTTCTCAACTCAAAGTGACAGTTTCTCAAATCAATCCTAAAGTGGTATATTAGTCGACCCCCCCCCCCCCCCGCCCCTACCTTATAGTACCCAACACCTTTGATCAACTCACACGATTTTCGTTCACTACCCGGAATTGATCACCACTGCGTTTGTCACGGTTGAGCGAATTTGTAATGCGGGTCAGATTTGACCACTTAGCTGGTCTAGTGTTGAAACGCCACACCACCTATATTACACCGGTATTGTCTCAATAATTGAGTAATCATCCAAACAAAGATAAGCCCTCGTCCTTTCGAATTCACCAATAAAACAATTTTGTTATTTTTGAGCATAAAATCACTAGTTTCAGCGCACATCAGAACCCAGTTGGAGTGTTTTTTTTTGAGCGATTCGCTCTCAGAATTACAGGAAGGAAAACTTCACAGAACATTTGCTTCGTAATAATCCATTAGGACTGGTTTTCTCTCCATTTCAGTGAAGTTACTCCCTGTTCAACAATGTTGTCAGTAATGGTACCATATCGAAACAATCAATTTTTGGGATCGATGTTGACCCATATTTCTTCATATTTTTCTATTAGTTCAGGACAGGCACTCTGGACATGGGAAGACTTCAATTTGCAACGTTTTCAGCACACAACCACGCAACATTTAACGCACCCTGTGACCGGAACCACAACCACGGGGTCGAATGCTTACCCGACCCGAACAGATCATGGCGGTTCGGAGACGGATCAGTCCGGATCATCAACCGTTTCACGAGTTTCGGTCGAGTGTCTTGTCCGTATTGTGGCCAGAATACTCGCCCTGTCGAACGCAAGCAGTGCAGAAGAAGCTGATAGTTGTCTGCTTTGTCATCACGGTTCACCGCACTCGCATTCGGCACGTCCTACCCGTTTGGGACGGTTCAGCACCTCACCAAACAACCACTGCATGGTCGCTCGTTTGTCTCAGGCTGCACTAAGCATGGGTCTGTCTTGTCCGAACAGGCACTACGCGAGTCGGTCATTACAAATCTTCCGTGTGCTCGGCGCGCATTTGGACCCGAAAACTCTCACCAAACTTGTGGCTCGGTTAGGCGAGACCATAGCGGATGCGAATGAAGAACTGCAGGTAAGCGTACTGTGTACTGTGCTTGTTCCCGAAAGGGCTTTGTGTTACATGTCTCATAATACGTGTATTATTTTATCGAGCGAGCATGGATTTAGTCTTCTTTCAAATGAACATATGAGTCTAACATCACTAGAACATCGCTACTTAATTCCCTAAGTCCATTGCTGTTTACGCGCCACTATCAACTTTTCGCATGTAGCATAACTTTCGTAAACGCTTGAATGCTAATTTTCTCTTCCCAATCACCGGACACCTAATTTGGGTACAGTCTTCTCAACGAAAATGTCATCATTGTGGGAAATAACATTAACTTTTCATGTGGGCTTTGAAATATTTTTCTTTGTTGACTGTTCCATCACCATTGATGGCATCTTGTGAGTCCCGTTGACGTGATGTGAGTTGTGTGCTGATTATATTTAGTGAACATAGGGGCCTCGTCACCTACGAGATTAAACACTAAAGGCACATTTATGGTAGTCACTCAGACGCGTTGATACTTTTTGTAAAGAATTGATTGAACTTGCATCGAAACATAGAAAACGCGGAATTCCTGAATATCCACAGGCATTGCTGTTCCGAGTCGTGTTTTCTGCCCTTGTGGGGGTATGCAGTTGAATGATCTGTTCGCAACATGATAGTGACTGCTCTTCGGGGCTGTAGAGGAGAGGTTAATAAAGTGTCTTCTTAAATAACTTTGGTGAATATGATAGTTGATACACTATTCTCGCTCAGTTATCAATTGTTATGACCTTTGTTGAAATTTTTTATCCATCTTCCCAACTATAATCGCGTAGTCCAATCTATCTGAACTTTTTGGCAAAGCTCTCCCCGAATACTCCGTTGTCTTTTCATTTCATAGGGTTACGTAGCTGAATTGTTCCTTACACAGGAAGCAGCAATTGAACATTTGCGAACGAAGAGCAACTGTATCACTGAAATAGTCAGTCCTATACCTGTCTCAAACAGTCAGCCTCGTACTGCGCCGACTTCACCCCATTGTGTCGGTCGAATCGGAATGACAAACGAGTCGAATCACACGGCACTGGTCACGGTATCCGATCGGCGTCGACCACAACAACGTCACTCGACATCCACTGGTCTGACCGCTGGACTGACCAATTCATGGACTCGACCTAACGGGGACCTGAGCCCCCGGCAACCATCACAAATCATGGATGATGCGGGATCGGTTAACGAGTCATGTGATAACGTGTAAGTAGGATTTGTTTTGTGATTGCGGTAGTAGACTTTGCATGGTTTTGCTGTTGTGACTGCCTAAAACCACAATGAACGATAGCTTACTTTCTTTTTAAAACAAATTTCTCCTACCCATAGAATCCATGACGAAACTAAGCAATAAAGTGCAACTTAAAAGCTTGCCGCCACTGGACTTTTTTCTTCTTCTAGCATACGCTTCTAGACCGGAATAATGGGGCGCTTCATCTGATGCAGTTTCAGACCACTATTCACCACCACGCACACATCGAATAGATGCGGGCCTTTCAGACTGAAACTCCAATGTATGCGAATTTGTTTTGCCAGAGGTTATAACAGCTGTGGCTCGGACTCCTTACTGTTACGTACTCATACGTGTACGGGGTTAACCAGCATGTATTTTTCACTCTCCTGAAGCGGATACCTCATCTCGAATCACCTTGTTTGATCCTTGAACTCATTCGCCCCCACCAAATTACTTCCGGAGGAGACACGTGTTTTGGTCGAGGAACGCATACTTTATTCTGTTAGGTAAGAGTTTCCTCATGCGCTGACCTGTGTGTGGCAATGAAGAACATATGTCTCTCCAAGAGCACTCGATTCGCTCTCTTAACATGAGTGAGGTTTCTCCGCATTACCTCCTTAATCGTGCCTATTAAGTATCCACCTTACTCCATCAACGCTATCTCATTCTGCATTGTGTAGATATTCGTGAATGATATCGGCTTCACGTTTAAAATCCCACTTGTGGTGGTGTGTAGCTCTGCCGCTGCTTTCTGTTAAACGAATGCATTTGAGTAACCGTAACCCTGATCACGAAAATTCATTGTACTATTGTCTATCCGACAAAACAGATGCCGATGAGGGAAGACGCCCACTGATAAGTTCCACACCGTGGGCTGTTAACGTAAAGTAACCTGTCCGGATGGCGTCTTACTTCCATGGATTCGATACACTTGCACTGTTGCTGACTCCTTATTGAGATGAAACATTGCATGACGAATCCGTACATTATTATTGGAAAGTAAATAGTTCCGGCCATATTGAATACATTTTGTGTGTGATTGAAGCGATCTAATTCCGTCGGATGATCACAGTTTCGGTTTCGGAATTTATTGTTATCTTCTAGAGATTCTATGCTGCAAATTAGCCATAGGTTTTGATCCAACAATAGGAAGCTCATTCCGTGTTTGATGGCAACTCCTTCGTGAACTAAAGCCCTGCGGTATTATGTGAGTTTTAATGCTAGCAGGATAAAGCTTTTAGCAAACATATTCCTATTTGAATACAAACTGCCGTCAATATTGTGCGATAATTATGTGTTGAT